GGAATACAAAGTTGTATTCCTTACACTGTAGAGCACTCTGGTCACATCCTCCCATACACCCTCCCCCCTGCAGCTAAATGGTTAAAAAAAAATAAAAAAATTAGTCATTTATTAGATTCGAGCACCAATGTCACTCTGTGCTCTGCCTCCTCTGATGTCATCCTACATTGGAGCTAATATGCATGCATGGCGAGCGCTACAAGCTATCTGATTAAGCTAATGTTGCTTTGATGCCTACAGTGTCTCTTTAACATCAAGGACTCATTCTTCAGCTGTAATATAGAATATAACTCAATCGATTATGCAGAACATCTTAATTACTTTCTTCCCAGGGTCAGAGTGGTCTCTATTGCACTTAGGAAACCAGCATTGCTACAGTAACTAATCGATTATAGGTAGATGCCTTTCACCTGATAAATATAATTTGTCTGTTTCAACCATAGAGGAACCATTGTCATGAGGATTCAGCTCTCTGCATCCTGACCCAGAAGATAAAGAACCACTGGCTTAGATAAATAAAATAACCTAGAGAAAAGCTACGATCAATTACAGATGTCATTTGACACACAGAAATTATTGTTTCGCGTGTGGTCTTCAACCACAGCGGTGTTCGACAAAGACAAAAATAAAATAAAGTGACATGTTATGATATTAGATATGTAAACTTATTTGTATACATATATTTTGTTTTTCCAGCCTTTTTTTGTTGCTATCTTAAGTATAACTTTTGGGGTCTTTTAATTCTTTACATTTTTTGTCTATTGTGTGGAGGTATCTGAGGAGTAGAGTTTAGGGAGATATATTTAACTGAAGCTGTCCCTCCATGGCCCCCTTCATGTGGCCGTCACACATTTTCAGCTCCTGGCAATACCATCTGCCAGGAGCTGTTATCATAATTGTACTATTGCATGTGTGTGTTAGCACAAATCACAGAAACCATAATATACCCCATTCATTGTTACAATAAAAACTGTAATAAAATCAGATGATGTAAAAAAATTCTGAAAAAAAACAGCAACTTTAACAAGTGGAAACATCTAGCCATAAGCTTTTTAATTACACAAGGCTATGTTCACTAAGCAGTTAAAGGAGCATCTAAATACCAACACCACCGTGCAGATGCAGTCAGCTGTCCCACTTAGCCAATGAATGCTTTCAAATGTTGATGAAACTGATATCACAAAGTGGAACATGAGGGTTCACAGCTGCCTAGTGAATCCATGGTTTTGATCAAAATGTTTAAAATGATCACTATATTTTTAATTTTAGTGAATGTAAACTAAAATTGCAAAAAATTAGCCAAAATGGTCAAATGGAAAAAGAGCGGAACTGGAGAATATTTCCAACCCTTACTGAATTATACCTGATCTGTGTTCCTTTTGTAATCTTAGTGAACAATTTATACTGTCTGAGAAATGTCACAATTGACACATTAAAACTTCAGAATTAGGGATTATTCTAGTTTACAGCGAACGAATAATCTAAATTTTATTAAAGACAGGAGGCGAATATTTGCTTATCTTTCTTTACTGAAAACTCCCAGCAGCAAAGAAGTAGTTAACAAAGATTGTAAAAATTAAACCGATCAGAACACATAACAGAAGTACATAGCGCCACTAGACTCCTCCCACTTTCTATTTCTTGATGACGCCGATCAGCAGTAGAGTCAACCATGTAAACAAGAACTTTAACGAATCAGGAACCGTAGCTCCAGTTAAATCATAATGAAGTAAACCATGTAAACGTGTCATCCAGTAGACTGTGCCAAAGCATCACAAGGTCAATGCAATATTTTCACACTAGGAGAGAAGAGAAACTTCGTGAAAGTATGGTCTCTTAGACAAGAGAAAAACAGTATTCATAAGTAATTTTAAGTTAACATATTAAAATTGGAATGTATAAATGATAATAAATGACAAAAAATTGTAGGACTAATTCACAAGGCAAGCAAAATTGTATGATTACAACAAGCAACCTGCGAGAGAGTGTACAATGCAAGACTAGTCCAGAAAACTTACCCTGTAGGGTGGGATTAGAGTGTATGAAGGGAGGGAAAATATTCGCCTCCTGTCTTTAATAAAATTTAGATTATTTGTTCACTGTAAACTAGAATAATCCCTAATTTTATGGCAAGACAGGAGGATTCATATTTGCTATTTTAACGCTCCTCTATAATAGAAAAAGCAGCGGGTGGTGTAGGTTTAAAATAAAAGGTTGGAAAGGTGGATTCTCTTGACAAATCCGTGTAGGATAGGATATCCAAAAGTGAGCTGCGTGCATGAAGAGCAGAGGATGTGGCTGCACCCCTGACGGAATGAGCACCAAAAGATTGGTCAATTCCTGCTTGAGTGAGCAGCCATCTTATCCAGCGTGCAATCGTGGGAGAAGAGACCAGTTTGTGAGGTCTGACATAGGAAGCAAAAAGAGGCCCTGTAGGGGAATGTAGAGAGGTTGTGCTCTCAATGTAACAACGAGAACACAGAAGGACGGTCTGTCTGGAAAGTATGGGTAAAAAAACGATGAGAAATTAGTCTTTGTACGTCTGGTGATAGTAAATCTGACTTCATCCGGCGCGATAGCCACAGCATGAAAGTCGAAGGCCTGAACATCTGAAACTCTGCAGAAAGACACCAGACACAAAAGCAGGGCAAATTTTGCAGAAAGTTGGTGTAAGGATAAGACCTTGTTAGAAGGCCAGGATTCCACCAGAGTAAAAACTCGAGAGACATCCCAGAAATTAGAATATCTGGCAGTAGGGGGTCTTGTCAAACGTATATCCCGTAGAAGTCTGCACATGGAAAGATGCTTCCCTACTAATGAATTATCAATAGTATCATGGGTCACCGAAATGGTGGATCGAAAAACATTAATTGATTGATAGGATTTGCCTTGATCAAAGAGAGAGGATAAAAAATTTAAAATGGATGGAAGAGGCATTGAAACAGGATCAATATCCCTTTCCAGACACCAGCTGATCCAAATCTACCATTCGGATAGATAGGTTTGTCTGGTTCCCGGTGCCAATGAATCCCATAGGAGTGTTTTAGCTGTGCGCGAAAGCCCTGTGACATGCCAGGATCCCCTGAAAATGTCCAAGCTACAAGGTAAAGATGGCCGTGTAGGGCGAGTGGATGGAAATCGCCCACTGGGTCCCTGAGGACATAGATGGATCAAGGTAGCAGGATGGGATAATCCACCAATAGTTCCAGTAGAGTGGGGAACCAAGTCTGGACTCACCATAATGTTGTTATTATCACTATCCTGACTCCATGAACTTTGACCTGGTGAAGGGTCTGCTGAATCATAGAGAAAGGAGGAAACGCATAAGCTCCTCACCTTGGTCATGGTTGCAGAAACACATCGACTGGGAGCCAGCTGAAGATTCAGACGTGATGCAAAAAGGTCCAATGTGAGAGGTCACCATAGTAGGTGAATGTTGTGAAACAGGAGAGGATCCAGCTGTCAATCGCTGGCATCTCTCCAATAACCAGTCCGCAACTAAATTGTTGGGTCCTGAAAGATATTCCGCTCATATGGACAGGTTCCAATCGAGACAGAACCAGTAGAGATCCTTCATGAGGTCGGAAAGTTGTTTGGATCTGGATCCTCCGAGTCGATTCACATAACTCACCGCTGAGATGTTATCCATCCTTAACACCAGGGACCAGTTGGACGCATCCTTTGCAAAGCTGCGGATCCTAAAGGATTCCGCAATGAACTTGAGACAATTAACGTGGAGTGCTTGCTCTGATTGGGACCAGAGAGCTCCGGTTGAAACCTCAGAACAAGTAGCGCCAAGCCTAAGAGGCTGGCTTTGGACTTCAGGATGAAATCTGGTTGGGATCCGAAGATCACTCTCCCATTCCATGCCTCCATATTGCGAAGCCACCAGTGGAGTTCGATATGGACCTCGTCTGTCAGAGATATGAATTGGTCGTAAGAGGTGGAGCAATGCAAGTAGAAAGTTTTCAATCGTTGCATTGCTCTGTAGTGTAAAGGCCCCGGAAATATAGCCTGGATTGATGCTGACAAAAGTCTAATAATGTGTGCAAGGTCGCATAGTCAAGGGCGTTGAGAGGATAGTAATTTCCGAATTTCTTTTTTTTATGTTTTTTATTTTGGGATAAGGCAGTTGTAGAGTTGCCTGTACAGAATCTATTTGAAATCCCAGAAACTGAACTACCTGAGAAGGTTCTAGATCCGATTTCTGGAAGTTTATAACTAAACCAAGGTTTTGAAGGAAGGCAGAGATCACGTAGGTGTGCTTGCGAAGCAGGATGTTGTCTAGAAAATGAGTGTAGTGCCAGGACCGGTTTCATTAACTTGGTGAAACACCAAGGTGCGGAGCAAAGACCGAAAGGAAGGCAGGTGAACTGCCAAATTTCGTCTTGCCAGAGGAATTGAAGGAAGGCACGATGGATTGGTGCGATTGGGACTTTGAGGTATGCATCCTTGAGGTCGAACCTGGAGAACCAGTTTCCCACGCAAAGCAGGTCCATAAGAGGATGGATTCCTTCCATCTTGAAATGACGGTATCTGACAAATTGATTCAGATTTTTTAGGTTGATAATTGGTCGGTGGTCTCCAGTCTTTTTCTGTTGCTGAGGAAAGAGCAATGGAAAGGTGGTTGTTCGATCGCCCCTTTGTCTAGGAGTTTGTGTAACTCTGAGTTTAAGGTTAGCTTGTCTGCTTCTGACATCCATAGAGGTGTCGGAGGAACGCATTGTATGGGGTGAGTGAGGAAATCTATCTTGAAACCCCTGATTGTATGAAGCCACGTCCTCGAATAGATCCTCTGGTGTTGATTAACTGCCGATGATTGGGTTGAGTGGATCCTGAAGACCAAAAGTCTGTGGGGCGAAGCCTGTAGCTTGTAAAGGCTTCTCTACTGGTAGCTCGACCCCTGTAGCAACCAACTCTCCTGGAAAAACAATGGGTTTGGGAGCGAAAGACCCTGCGTAATGAGGACTGTGCTTTATTTAATGTGGTAAAAACAGAGACATCATTAGAGAGGTCTTGCATAAAACTGTCACCAAAGAACAGACCATCGGCTTCTGGTCCCAATTCTTTGGATCCCAAATCAACTAGTTTGGCATCGATTTTGTAAAGTGCCGCCTTTCGTCTTTTAGTAGAGATTGCCACATTGGCATTGACTAGTAGGCATAAAGCTCTCTGAGAATGGTAGTGGATTCAGCGCATAGTGTCTCAACGGAATAGTGTAGAATATAAAAACAGGCAGCAACCTAAAAGGACGTTCCCTCACAGTACGTCGAAGAAATAGAAAATAGTAAGAGTATTGAACAAGGGTTGAAAGCTACCTAAGACAAACGTCTAGATATTGCAGGCCCTATAATCCAAAAATGTTATCCCAGCAGATGAGGCACTCACTAACGGTGATTTTGATCCGCACACTGTGCGAGAATGGGCTCAGAGAGCTTTATAAAAAGGATATTAGGTCGCGCCAAAAAATAAATAAATATAACAGGATAAAAAGTAATGTAACAGTTAATAAAAACTAAAATCTCTTCACATAAAACACATGTAAATAATGAAATGAGTACTTACAAATAGCAATACATACAAAAAAGAAATGGATAAACAGTCCTAAGAATGAGCAGGGAATAGTGCCGTCCGCTTGGAGGAAGGAAACAGTCCTAATAAAGTTGAAGAAATGGGTGAAGTGTCTTGTTTCGGGTGGCAATATGCAAAAGAAAATAGGGAGAGGAGAATCCAATAGTGTAGAATTTAACCGGAGCTCTCTGGTCCCAATCAGAGCAAGCACTCCACGTTAATTGTCTCAAGTTCATTGCGGAATCCTTTAGGATCCGCAGCTTTGCAAAGGATGCGTCCAACTGGTCCCTGGTGTTAAGGATGGATAACATCTCAGCGGTGAGTTATGTGAATCGACTCGGAGGATCCAGATCCAAACAACTTTCCGACCTCATGAAGGATTATTGGCCTATATTTTACCTTTTATCCTTAATAATATATCTTTTATTTAAAGTTTTTTTTTTTATTTATTTTGTTTTATTCATTATCTTTTGGACCTGGTTACTATTATTCTATACTACTACCTTACGTTCAAGAATCACTGGTGGGCATGATACCACCTACGCCATAATAGTGAGCAGTATTTCCTGCTCACCCAAATGTGAGTATTTTATATATATTTCACTTTTATATAACTACCACATTGATACAGTGAGCACTATCCTGTGTTATCCTCTTCTTTCCCGAGGACCTCTGCTACGTAGATACGTCTACATCCCACCAGAGGGGGACCAGTACCACTGAATGCGAAGCACACCCGAACTAGTTTTAGCTCTACTATAGGTGAGTGCGATATTTTTTCACTTCGAATCTCCATATAAAAGCGGAAGATAAATTCTACACTATTGGATTCTCCTCTCCCTATTTTCTTTTGCATATTGCCACCCGGAACAAGACACTTCACCCATTTCTTCAACTTTATTAGGACTGTTTCCTTCCTCCAAGCGGACGGCACTATTCCCTGCTCATTCTTAGGACTGTTTATCCATTTCTTTTTTGTATGTATTGCTATTTGTAAGTACTCATTTCATTATTTACATGTGTTTTATGTGAAGAGATTTTAGTTTTTATTAACTGTTACATTACTTTTTATCCTGTTATATTTATTTATTTTTTTATTTTTTGGCGCGACCTAATATCCTTTTTATAAAGCTCTCTGAGCCATTTCTCGCACAGTGTGCGGATCAAAATCACTGTTAGTGAGTGCCTCATCTGCTGGGATAAAATTTTGGGATTATAGGGCCTGCAATATCTAGACGTTTGTCTTAGGTAGCTTTCAACCCTTGTTCAATACTCTTACTAGGGTCTTTGCCAGATTTGGTTAGGAAAGTGACTAGCATGGGATCAAATTCCGGTGTGGAGGCAACTTTGCCTGAAAAGTTTATTTCTAATTTCCATCTCTAAGGGCCTGCGTAGCCACATTTTACAAAAAACTGGCAACATTATCAGGAGGGGCCCATTTGGCAGATTGTGGATGACAAATTACTCTTCGATCAAAAAAATGGGAGGCCTGAAGCATCCAGGAGGATGTCCGAAGAATGCACTTTAGATAGGGGCTCACCCTAAGCATCACTTGTGTGATAAAGGTCTCTTTAATAAACTCTGATGTTGAGGAATCCTGGGGCACATTCACCGGGGGATCCTCATCAGAATAGTTAGCATCATAATCATTCATCATATGACCAACCAATCTAGAGGTAGAACCCTCTAGAGGGTCTATGGAATCCTGCATAGTGTGTGGCAGGGACTGTTTTAAAAAAATTGCAGGAGCTTTTCCCCTGCCTACAGTAACGCTATCCCTTCTCCAGGGTTGTTTGTGCGGGGCACCTTCTTGGTCTGAAAGGTGGGAATCCTCTGAATCATTGGGTTGATGTGCAGGAGGGTGAGCTTCGGTAGAAGCTTGTTCGTGAAAGGCCGCTAAAGCCTTGGGTATGGACTCCGCAATAGTGGAGAAAAGCCATGCCCGTAGTTCTGCAGAAATAGCAGGGTCCTGGTGATCAGACATAATGTCTACAAGAAATTATAGAAATTTATAAATGAGAGAACAGATTCTCAATTACTTGAATTGTAGGTATTAATACTGCACTAGCAGGTAAACTGGTGAGCTTAAGGTAAGGCAGGCGTGATGACCAAGAAAATACTGGTATTTGAAATTAAGATGGGGCAACTCAGATAAAATAATAGAACAGTGGGGTTACCCACACAAAAGTAAGCAGTGGGGGTCACCCACAATACAGTTAGTGAGGTAAAAATCACTGTAAATCATAAAGTGGGGGTCACCCAAAAAGCTAACTACAGGTGGTGTTAGCCACTTAGTGTAATTTAGAATTTATAATGAGGTGGGGGTCACCCACAGAAAATACCACAGGTGGTGATACCCACACAAATATAATATTATAATCTTATAATAAGGTGGGGGTCACCCACAGAATAAAAGAGAGGTGGTGTCAGCCACACAAGTATAATTTAATAAATGTAGGGTTAGCCACAAATCAACACAGTATAGGTTGAAAAAACACCTTAAATGAGGAAGAAATGGGGGTTCACCCAAGTCAACAAAACTCTTAATGAGCAGACAGGTCTTTTGAAAAAACTTGGAGCAATCTGTAAGAGAAGAAATAAGGCAGTCAGCAATTCCGAAAGGAGATATGGGCAGATAACCTAAAGGTTTAGTTGGTAAATAGGAATTAAGCTTACCTAATCCGGAAAGCTGAATTTGTGCCCACAGGTCCGCCTATAAATTGCGCCAAATGAAAGGCGGGAAAAAACGAGCGACAGGCGTAATAAATGGCCGCCGCGTGTATAAGGGCGATGCGATTGTGTCAGAGCCACCACAGAGACAGGAAAGCTGTTTAAAAGGGCGTGAAAGCGCGCCGTGGTCTCCTGGGAAATGGAGTCCACAGTCGCAATGCTCGGTCTGTGGAAACTGAAAGGGGCAGCTTTTTATGAGAAAGTGGTAGAAAAAAACCCAGCACGCCTTTCATAAGAAAACGACCTGGCGATAAACGTTAAACTACTAGGTAAATAAGGAATTTTCAGAGTTTTCCTGCAGCACATGATGCTTCTTTCTTTCTGCAGGTGCAAGCCAAACAATGATTTATCACTGCAAGAATACACATGTAAGTGTATAGTCCTGTCTTTACTCTCTTAACTATTCCAAACAGCAGCAATGAAAGAGATAAATGGCAAGTTTAAATGCAGTAGAAAAAACTTAACAGGTACAACTGAAAATAGTATACAGGTAACCAATCAGTATGCAGCATAGGTAATGTAAGTCCCAAGCAGTTAATCCAAGTCCTCTTTCTTTGTTGCACCCCGTTCTCTCTCTATTTCAATCATATATATATATACGATTGCACATATTATATATTGTACATAGTTTCTCCCTGTGTTTAATATCTTTTTTTTTTTTTTTTTGCTGGGAGTGGACTTTACACTCACCTCATTTCTGCTTTTTCATTCACAATTTTCACTTAAACCAAATTTGTACTGACAGAATTTGTACCCCCTCAGAGCGGTCTTAACGCATGGGCACGCTGGGCAGTTGCCCAGGAGTCCCACGAGCATAAGGGCCAATATACTAGCCAACTTTTTAACATATTATTCTGGAAAATTTATTAAGAACCACCAAACCCTCTTTATTAAAACATTTAGGTGGACTTATCACCTCAGTAACAGCTGTTATTTGTACATGTAATCTTTCTGCTGTGAATACATATCTTGACCTTGACAAAAACATATTCCACGAATTTGGTTTCCATGAAAAAATTGATTTGCACAGCCTATGCATGCAAAAATGTAATATATAACTAATTTCATAATTCCAGGAGATATTAAAATTGTTGTGGGAGACAAGGAGAGTGGCACTTAGTTCAGTTCATTTCTTTTAATAACAGTTAACAAGCTTTTCATAGTTTTTCCCAGTTTTTGTTACCATTCACTGTTTTACTTTTACAGTTAAAAAAACATTGTTAATGCTTCAATGAATCAGTAAGTTTCTAAGGCATTTTTTTCAGCCATTCCTTTATCTTTTACAAAATTCAAAATCTGTGTCTTTAGCATTGTCACAAAGTAATCCTGCCCAACTACAGATACAAGAACCTGTCACTCTTTCGGATTAATTTGGTCTGCAGAGGAGTCTGAAGGATGCTTAGCTAGAGGTTTTCATCATTCTGGTAAGGCCGCCCAGGAAAGGGTGATGGTCCTGTCATTAATTATATGAAATCTAGAGATCTGAATAAAATTAAGGACCAAAAAATTTCAGACATTACACATTTACCATGCAAATCTGACAAGTATGAGAAATCACCACACAAACGACCCTCTGCCTGTGAGGTGAAAATATAGGATCGTAAAGCCTCCTTCTGCCCATAGACTTTATTGTTTTGAAATCGATCTAATAGATCAAGACTTTGTACTTCCACACCCACTCGGATGGACTTATATTTGTATGGAGAGCAGGACTATGGCAGATTTGAAGAAGCCGCTGAGGCGAACCGCGTCATCACTTACGTTACATCGATTATGTCACAACGCCACGTGTGCCAATTCGAAGCTCCGCCTCCTTGAAGTGTTCCAGTGTATCTGCAAACCGAGGTATCGGCAGTGCCGGCAGCAGACCGCAGGGACTGCACTTGATCACAGGGAGAGAAACTGAAGGCTGAGGGTGTTGTAGCACCTTATAACTTTTTATATGATTTTGGAAAAAATCATATAACCTACTGGAGCCATCCATTTTCTTACCACATCGGGCTAATTAAATTGGAAATGCTGACAGAGCAGTTTTCTGCATTATGTTCCATTGAATGAATTTGGTAGAAACATGCAGATACTGTAAAGTTCCATTATCTCTGGTTAACATTTTTTGGGGTAAGTTTGTGCTTACTTACCCACTTGTTCTTCATGGTTGAAGAGACGGTTTCCTTCTCCTTTGCTTAATGTACTAATAGAAAAAGGATGTAAATATCTAAGTGATCTATATGTAAATAATTTCATAGAATTTGACTATCTACAGAGAAGATATAATGTCTCAACTCGTTTTTGGTTGGACTATAATAGTTTAAAGGCTAGATTTTTAACCTCTAGGTTCCATTTGAAAGTAGTTAGGAAAATGACATCATGTGAAAAGTTAATCTTTTCAAAAAACAGGGGGCAGGGCCTGATAACCGAACGAGGCAGCCGCATGAGGCTAGAGCTCCTCTGAGAACTTCTTTCTAAGCAAAATACTGGACATATCCATTAATCTTTGGCATTACTCCTGATTATTCAACTCTGGATTACTCTGCCATACTCTGCACCTGCTTTAGCCTGAATTTAGAGGACACAGCCCATGATAGGATTCTTAACGGCATGCAAAAATAATCGTGGCGGGGGAGGCAGCCAATCCTCAGCCTTGACCTGTAGATCGCTTGTCTGGAGTCCTGTTACCCCCCCCTTTGGACAGGTGGGGGATATCCCGGTCCCCACTGGTATACTCCTGTGGCCTTCTTTGCGAAGTACCGATATTGTAGGCGAGTTGGAGGGTTGAGGCCTGCTTCTCAAAATGGTTGCCACACCGGGGCCTGCTTCTCCATAAGCCCACCCACAAGCCACCTGCCTGCATGGACCCACTCCTTCGAGCTTTGGACTGCCTGTTTGCCCGATTTTGGGTGAAGCTCCACGCTCGAGCTCTTACCTTAACCGCCACTCTTTTGTGCCGATCCAAGGCCTCCCAGACTTGGCCTAATTGCTGACGCTACAAAGCGAGGCTTCTCTCAAGCATCCCCCACGCGGTACGGCTGAGCCGTGGACGCAGGCTGTTGGAGCCTAGACGTCTAAGATCTATTTCCCAAGCCTGTTCCCTCTCTCCTGGACAGCAAGGCAACAGAGGCCTCCTTCCACAACTCGGAACACCCAGCAGAGCTGGGTGCATGTGACAAAGGACCCAGCCATTGGATGCTGTCAAATACAGGAGAGCCTCATAAAGAAGAGCCTTGCAATCTGGTACCGTTGGGGTGAATCCATTGATATAGCTGGACAACAGCATCCTCGTGGCAGTGTCTTCCCCTCCAAGGACATAGGCTGTTTCTATCTACAGCCTGTCTTTCTTACAGCCTCTCTTATTGCAGATATGATTAGCTTGATTATTGGTTTTTATTTTATTTTTGTATTAATCTGCTTAAATTGACTAGTAGCTGTAGATTGTTTATATAGTGCCCAGTGGTATTTTCCTCTAGCTACTCATCCTACCAGAGGTATTTTATCCATGCTTACTAACACTCCATTAACCTAGCATGCTTGTTTAAACCTATGCATACTATAGATTCTCCATGTCTGGAATTTCTCGTACGATAGCACATCTTGTATTTTACATGTACCTAGACATGTTTGACCAGCATCCCTCTTATTTTCTCTTTAAAAAGTGCAGCCTGTCATGACATTTTAAGCTTTCATTATAAGCATGTATTTCTTTTACTTATACTGTTTTGCGCTCAATGTCATTGCCAATATGTAAAAGTCTTAATGAACAACAAAAATAAAGATTTATTAAAATATTGAACAGATGGTATTTGGTACAAAACTATGGAAAATTAAAAAAGACAACATGCAGAAGTATTGCTGGAGAGGCTGCAAACAAATTGGGTCAGCTTTACATATGTGGAGGTCTTGTCCTCTAATTCAAATATACTGGAACGATGTTCTTGCTTCGATATCCAAAATATTAGGGAAAAAAATGAAAATGGGCCCAAAATTTGTTCCGTTTCATGTTTTTCCTGATAATATTTCAATGGATATTAAACGTTTTCTACTACTGGCTTTAACGGCAGCTAAATAGCGTTAAAGTGGAAGGGAGAAAGAATGCCCCTATGGTCGGATAGTGAAACTGTCATGCAGAGAAATAGAGCTTTAGAACAAAATTATAAGAATGAGGGGATATATAAATGGGCGATATGGGATAAATACTCATTAAACCCTGGACCTATGGATTTATAGTAGTAGCGAAAATTGTGCCCCCCATGGCCAGCT